TATTTTTTTTCATGTTTCTTTATTCAATTATTTCCGATGATCTGCAAGTGTCCTTATATTTATGACCAGGAAGTGTACCAATACTACATTTCTCTACCCTATTTGTGGGTCGCGACCCCATATCCCTGAGTTAAACCTTACGAGGAAGGTTTAGATGAAGTAAACTTCCGATAGATAATCGAGTGAGATAATCTTTCGGATGTTGATATTTGAATCTCCGAGGTTCAATCCGAGAGTGTAAAGTTATGACTCCACGTCTATTACTTATCATTTTTAAAATTTTCAATGTCGATCATTAAAAATTTGATAAGCTTGACTTTGTACTCATTACTAAATTAAAAAATTAAAATAAATAAAATAAAAATTATTCATTAATAATAATTAAATGGCTTCTACATCTTCATTTAGAGGTCAACAACAAGTTTCTTCTTCGTATGGAGGCGGACCACCACCATTACCACCGTCAAGGAATCAAAGACTATACGGTAAACCATTACCACATCAACTTCCTCAATCATCTTATGAAAGAAGACCATCATCTTTATCACATAGTAGTAGCACTTCCTCTTTATACAGTCCGTACTCTCGACCAAATAACAATGACCATAACAATAATAACAAGAATGCACCATCTCGATCACCGTCACCAATACCTTCTTCATATAACAATAATTCATCATATTCAAGAAATGGAAATTATCACCACCATCATAATTATTATCAACAACAATCACATCACGACCATCATCACAACAATAACTATCTTTATAATCATCGTTCACTCTCTTCTTCTTCCTCCTCCTCCTCTTCCTCCACCTACCATGGATCTTCTTCATATCCACCACAACAACAACAATTACAATCAACATTACAACACGGTAGCACATCTTCTACTAGTAATTCTTTAAATGTCAACCAATCTCCACAAAAAACTTTATTTGAACAACACACAAAGCCTATTCAAATTCCTGTTTATGCTCCAACATATGAAGAAACCGTAATAAATTTATTATTATTTTAATTAATTAATTAATCAACTGTTACAATCGTTACATTAATTGTTACTTATTAATTGCTTCATTTTGATACATCTATTTATTTAAGTGGGCGGATTGTAAGATCGAAGGACAACGGTTAAGAGAGGCAGAGGCCAAATTAACAGAAAGTGTTAGAAAATCGCAAATAGATCTTGATAAAGTAAATTGGGAATTGGAGAAAGTCATTCATCAAACTGCTTTGGCAACTAGACAAATAGAATTACTTTTTGCTAATAGTCAAGAAGAAATTGAAGCTTTAAATAAATTAGCAGAAAAAGAAACAGAGGAAAATCAACTAGCTTTGATTAATAATAGTAATTTTTAAAAAATCCCGATTTTTTTTTTATCAAAAATAAAAAAAAATTTCATGAAAATTGGAATATATATATTTACATATATCACATATATTAAAATAACATTTTTTATCATCACTATAGTCATCATATATTATTTATTTTCCTTAAAATTTTATTTTTCAATATATGAAATATCTTTGGAAAAATATTTTTATAAACATGACTTGTATATAATATCTCAATATTTCAGTTTACAATCAGCATATGCACTTACATTATTATAATTGTGATCAACACCACTATCCAGAGGATCCTACTAGAATTATTACAATAAAAGATACTTTAGTAAGGGCAGGTTGATTGTTGTAGGAAAAAGAAAAATTAAGTAATTTAAAACAAAAAAAAAACAATTTACAAATCTAATCAATCAATCAAATTCATTCACTCAATAATGATTGATTGATTGACATATATATATGAATTGTAAGTAAAATATCCTTTAAAAAAAATCAATTTATTTTATTTCAACATTAATTAAACAATTGCTTTATTTTTAATATATATTATAAGTGGATATGAAAAATTCAAGATTAGCAAAAAATTATTTTCATCAATTAGATAGAAAAATAAGAAATTATCTTATTTTTATTTTACAAATTATAAAAAAAAAATTAAAAATATCAGATCAAATATATATATTATATATTATGTTATTTATGTTGAAAGAATATCAATGAGTGAAAAAAAGGTATTTTATTATTATTATTATTTATTTATTTGTTTTGAGAAATTTTTTCATAAAATGAATTTTAGGACCAAAGTTAGAAGAGAGAATTGAGAGAATTGATTATTTGGTTCAGATTGATTGATCAAATTCCCTTGTTGAATAGTATATTAGGAAAAAAAGAGTGAATTTTTAATCCATTAATTAATTATGTTTCCTGAAACCTGAAATTTTTAACAATATTTTACTATGTATTTATTAAAAAATTTCACCATTTATAAATAAAAACCCAAATTATTCTTATTAACATTTGCATTATCTTTTCATTTTTCTAAATTCGTCATTTCAATGATCCTTCATATCATAACTGAGTTAAAAGGTGTTATTTATTATTTCAAAATTGCTAAATGTCATCATTTGTTCAGTATCTTTAGCGGTGGTTGGCTTCTTTAAATAATGATGATAGCAGCGAGTTTTCATCGTCAGACCACATGCAAACTATCATATGAAGGGTTTAATTTTCTCCCATAAATGACGAATCTTGACAAAGTCAAGGAGTCTATGACTCATATATTCAGTGATTAGTGCTTACGGTTCTAATATACCTACTTTACGGAGAAAGGATCTGAGAAATGGTCATGGTAATGTAATCACTAATCATGTAATTTTTTCCACCTAGCAGGTTTTTAGATTTAGCGGATGAACATATATATAAATAATTGGATTTGTGAGGTGGGTTAGCAACTATATTACTTTTATATTTTTGTTGAAAAAAAAAGTCTACAATGGAAGGAGAACTTTCAATTAAAATTGATAAATAAATTCTCCTATTGGCTTTATTAATTGCACAGGATACACTTTCAAAAAAAATACGATTAAACAATGATACTTTTATATAGTGGAACTAGATGACATTTACCTTGCTGTTCATGATAAAAAAGGAAAAAGGAAAATCCCACTAGATGGTAAGTTGTACGATTTCTCTGATTGTTTCAGAAGGAAGCAATTTTTGTTTTTCATATATGCCTCATTTCTCATTTTCACTGCTCTGTATATTATAGGTCAATTCAAAAAAAGAAAATGGTTCGTATCTAATGGTCTATAGTGATAGAGTCAATATTGATAATATCATTGAAAACTCGGGATGTCCAGAGCAATATATAGTAGGAGGGTTATGATTACAATTGGTATTCAATCTGGGATCTTTCCAAGAAGATGCAAGTGGTGCCAGTATTAGATGACAATAATGTACAGTATATATGTTTTTAAATGTCTTTACAATATATATATTCTGGAGAAATTATTTCTTGTATGTTGCGGCATTGTCTCATGAAATGAGGATGCTTTTGCATCTAAGCTACGAGAGTTAATTATCAAGTCATATGTCGAATTAATGCCTGATGTCACATGAAAATGTATGAGATATTCTGTAAGCAACTCATGTTAATTATCTGAAAACACATTAACGATCAAAATATAGTAAATCATGCAGAGAATGTCCATTTCATGGATTCTTTATAGGTTTTACTTTTCACTACTTAAGTTTCAATAATACTTTCGCGAATTTTCGTCATCAGAGTAATTACATTCACATCACTTGCCTCATTATCTTCAGAGAAATCCGAATTAAAACTTGAAGAATTGCCAAGAAACAGTCACAGAATGGCTAGAGATAAGAGAGGAGATGTGGTTGAGACATTTACCTCAATTTCTGCTGAACCTGCATAAATCATTATTCAATCAAATCTAGATTCTTCAAACTTTGCAGAATGCTTTGTTCTGGTAAATTTTTCGAGTCAGGCTTGGAGACTTGAGATTTGATTGGAATATTTATCCGAGTTTCTGATGGAACATAAGCTTTGGATAGGCATACTTACAATTACTTTCAAAGTACCATGATTCTGATCGTAAAAATTGTTCACGGTTTTCAAAGTCACTTGATCTACAATATACTGGATTTGAAGATTAATAAGTCTTGAATAGTATCCATGCTATATATCAGGAAAATAAATCTTACGTAAACCTACATAGGGTTCAGAATTGGCCAGCATTATGTCGATATTTTGGTAATTCTGTTAACATTTCCGCATAATGCTGGTCAGTTTTAAACCCTACGTAGGTTTACGTGAGATTTATTTTCCTGATGTAGGTAAACCGATTAATCACATGTCATCCTCTTTAACTTTTTCGGGGTTATAGGATTATTATCCATCCAAATAGCTCAAGAATTTTCTCGCATTGCTTGTTACCTTGCATTATATTTATCAGTAATGTCTGTAAGGTATGGTCTCATTTCATTATAAATCTAGGTCATTATAGTTTTATCTTTAATATCCTTATCTTCGAATCTTTCGGAATAGCGTCCTCAAGATAAATTTTCTTCCTGTTTAGCCCTGATAGAATTTTTTCTTGCTTTATCTAACAAATGAGCAAGTCATACTGCACCAGATGCAGAAACTGAAGACTTTCAATTAATAAATTTAACATTGTTTCCCTTTGTAAAACATTTTCTCGATCATGAACAATATTGACAATTTTGCATCACATGGTAGCTTGGATGACATTGGCTTTTCTGGAAGAAAGTATTGTGAACACTTAAAGATAAGTCTGGATTTCGATGAGTCGGAGACTCGAAACTATGCCTATCCTTTTCTTTTCTTTCTCTTATCATATCGCGAACCCTTACCTTATCTTGCAAATCCATAAAATCACTGACCTTTTTATCTTCTTTCTGTGGGATAGGAGATGTGGAGCATTGAATCATCGACTCCTGGCATGTACCAGAATTAGATGCGTTATCAGATGTATTAATGAGATTCATTTCGGGGTGATACTCAACAGGTAATGGAATGGGATGATTGAGAAGTCTCACATAGCAAAGACGCTGATACATATACCTATATTTCTGAATCAATGGGAGGTTTTGGTATAGATATGTCGGTTTGCGCTGAAACACTAATAGCGTTTTGGTCCTGCCTGATTTCTTCGATATCATAATTCAGCGGGCTCGGTTTTTTCTGCTTTAGTTTTGCATGTCTGACATCCTCTTTTATAGCTTGTTTTTGACATCATATTCTCAGCATTAACCTAAGTGTTCTCAGTCTTGAGTTGATCAATTCGTTGTCACAATAAATCTAATTTGGATTGCATGTTCGATAATGATTTTTATATAAGGCATAGGTTTATTCAAAAGTTCAAATTAGATGCAGGATTTGAAAAAAAAATCATGGATATCGCAACTTTTTTCATACGCATGCCACACCATCTCTAGGAATAGTAATTTATTTAATTATCTGGGTATGATCTACACATCATGTTCCAGGGTTGTTTGACAGTTTAACATCGAACTTAATCAAATACGAATGAAACGACATCTTTATTTAAAAAATTACGTACTTTGACGCTATTTCTTAAAGAAAAACATCAGGTGAACAATTATTAAATTATACCGCGCCGTTCTGTTTCCCCGTAGTAAAGCATGAAAATGGTATAAAGTCACAAAATTCATCAATCCTAAATTGTAAACGAGCCTCATTATAGTTACTTGGGATGGCGGGGTGAGTAAAAAAGTTTTCGACTTTCAATAAATTGAATGATGATGTCAATAATTTCTTTCATGCTTCATATTTAAATATATATTTATTATCCCTCCACTTTTTTTATTATTATTAAAAAAAGTAAATTTGTCCCCGGAAATGATGTCTGTGACCGATCCTTGACTATAGATTTTTTAATCTCATTTGTATGAATTCATTTTTGTCCAACACATATATCCACCCAATGATAGTTGTCCTGGACATTGGAGATATTTTCCCATATGCCCAATGAATTATTATCAATGATTAATTATATAGTGCTAGGCGCTCTTGAATTCTTCCTTTTTTCCTAATAAAGGAGACTAAAATATAAATAATGTAACTAAGAAACAAAAAATAAACAATTCAACTTGCCGCTTCACAATATTATAAAAGAATCCACGAGTCAAAGCAACAAAAGAGTGATGATATTCGTTGACGGAATTTTTTACTATAATTAGAAAAATCCTAAAGAAAAGGAAGTTTGGATTAAAAAAAATAATTTACTTTTTCATAACTTGCTGAAATTGTATCTTTTTGGATTAGAGCATACGGTGACATGTCAAAGTTTGGCTAATCAACAAATTCCCAAGTGTAATCCAACTTTTTGGAGCGTTGAGGATACAATGTATCAAATTTTTAATTATCATTTAAAAAAAAGAACAATTGCAAATATTAATTGGTTCTACAGCTTTATTTATTTGTGAATAAAAAAAATATCTCAATTATGGTAATTATGAGTCAAATTCAAAAAATTTTAGCAATCATTTTAAATCTATTATTTCCGATCAATCAGACTAACAGAATGATCAGTAAATCAACATAATTTAAGCAAGAAAAAAGCGCCTTGGTTTAAAATTTATCAGATAAACCAAATTCCATATGTTTGTAGAAACTTGTATAAAAGCTAGTCCTGAAAGAACAATAAGATAATCATGTTTCAGGATAAAAATATTATTTAATTTTTTTGGGCATTTTTTCCAGTTCCAATTCATCAAGAAATCCGAGTTTATAATATACTCTCTCAGAACTGTGAGATAAGACGATCTTCAATTCTAAAGTATTTGAATTTTCAGACTTTTAATAACCTAATTGGTTTCTGGTTAAGGGAATTATTGGTAAATTTTTTAAAAGTTCCTTTTTAATCTTGGCTTATACTCGCAACAGTTTTGAAAGATTCCCCATGGGTTCAGGAGTGATCCGCCTGTTTATTACTATTAATTGTTATTTTTATGATTATTTTTATTAAAAATGAATAACTTACCAAACCAAATAAAATAAATAAAAATAGAGTAAATTCCTAATATTATGCTAATCGAACCTCCAAGTTGACCAATATTGCCTACGATCTGAGAAAGTAAGATTGTGTTTAAATATTAATTATATTTTAAGTTTGGCATCTAGCAAATTTAATATGATGCTTGCAGTTTTACCTAGTAATGATAAAAAAATCGTTAGGAAAATTCAAATTAGTATTAAATAATCATCTTTTTTCTGTTTCGACGGGTTCAAAATATCTATTTCCAGATCTACTACTACTACTACGTCTATCAATCACTGCCTAAAATAGTTATAATCAGGATTTTATTCCTTTGAATTGATTGATTAGTGTATTACCAAGCCAACAAAAGATACATAAATGGATTACAGTTCGCTCTCTCTATGACGAATTTTTGGGCTGGGCTAAGAAGGTCGTTATAGACAGAACTTGTTAGATAAATAATATTTATGAGTTAGTTATCTGATGATTTGATGATGATAATCATTTTTTAGTTGCAACTCTTCAGATTGTTGGCCAATATATATGTCTACCAAGGGACGAAGCGATATTAGACTCTTAAAAAACGTTATTTATTTTAATACATAATACTACTGTATTAGTGTGAAATCTTGGATACTTGGAACACACTGCTGATCATTTAAACCAAATTTTCAAACAAACATTTTTATTAATTATCATTACGTTTTACAACTGCGCAACAATAAATTGATAAATTAGTATTAATTAAAAGAGAAAATTAGTTCCCATCAATATTCTCCTCCATAACAATTTTTTAAAAAAAAAAATGAATTCAATATTTGAAAAATATTTCAATGAAAATGAACGATTATTGAACACAGAAGACTTTTATGATGTAAAAATATATGTTGATGTAGAGCCAAACATCAAAGAAGTTCATGCACATGCATCTATTATATCAGCTCATTGTCCATTTTTTAAGAATGCATTAAGTGATGCAACAAAAGAAAATGATTATTATATTATTAAGAATGTTAATATTAGTGAAAAATGTTTCAATCATATTCTCAAGTAAGTTTGAATAAATTTATTATTATTTATTTGTTTATTTATTATTAATAAATATATAATAATGATATTAATAACTTTTTAATAATTTATTTATTTTGAAAGATTTTTGTATACATGTAAAATTGAAATTGAAAATTATTCTGGAGCTGAAACATTAGAACTATTGATTGCAGCAGGTCAATTTGGTATTGAGTCACTTTATGAATATATGATGAAATACTTTGTTGAAAATTATGAAGATTATATAGAAGAAAATTCAGTTAAAATTCTACAATTGATTTATGCTAATGAAGATTTTAAGGAATTAAAAAATATCTATTTGGAAAAATTTTGTGACTATGGTGAAAAATTATTTGAATCAAATGAATTTAAATCATTGGAAAAACCAATCCTTTTAGAAATTCTCAAAAGGGAAGATTTTTTTGTTGATGAGATGGTTATTTGGGAAAACACACTTAAATGGGGTTTGGCAAAACATCCAGAAATCAATAATATCAATATTGAAGATTGGTCACCACAAAATTTTGTTGATTTAGGCAATACATTAAAAGAATTTATTTACCTAATAAGATTTCAGGATATTTCTAAAGAGGATTTTTTTGATAAAATTGAACCATATGATATACTTTTTCCTAGGACTTTACAGAGATCCCTGTCACAATATTATTTTTTTCCTGATAGACAACAAACATTAAATTTATTACCATCAAGAATTCCAAATTTGATACCAACACTTGAATCATTGACAATAAATCCAAACTTTATTTTGCTTTTTGCAAGTTGGATTGATAGAAAAAATTCACCATATACCTCCTTTAAGAGAGTCAAATATGAATTCAAAC